CTTTTTAAATGAAGGAATAGTTATTTTATTTTTACAAGCAATTTACCAAATTTTAAAGTAACAGAAGTCATGAATTGACAATTTGTTTCTAGTACATATCATGTTTACATTTCAGAGAACTGACAGACTTACATTGAGCTTCAGGATGAAAATCCGTGCTTGAGAGTCCGTGCTTGAGTCAGGCGCGCTGTCTCATTGTTAAGGTGGTCACATGATGATGGCTTAATGATAATGAATTATGTGCTACTGCACGTTATGTATGTTAATATAACTTAAGTTTAAGTCTTAATGTTGCCTGCAAATATGTGATCCCTTATGATGTAAGTTTCCTGTTTTATGCACCATTGCCCGTTTTTTTAAATCAAAAGAGAAGATTCTGAAACTATAAAAACTACACATGTCAATGTTTTACAGCTACGTAATACGAATTGACTTGATTTTTTCAAGTAATCCTAGAAAGGGGGAGCATTCCATATAGAAACTGCTGAAACTGCCACAGGTGCTTCTCCGAAAACCTTACAGTTGTGGCATTGAATGTTCAGTATCGCTTCCTTTCTGCACACAAGGCATACTGTTGAGGTATTTGTTGCGGTGATTGGTTTTAATGCTAATCTAGGAATTCAGATATAGAATATATAGATTTGCATGCTTTTCCTTACCCTAATTTCAGTATTTTATTTTTAATTTGTAAACTAACAATATATTAAGTTTGAGTGCTTTTAAAATGGGGCATATTACGTTAAGGCCTAGGTTTTTATTTTCTTGATTGTCTCATGGCATTGATGAGGAAACAGTTCAGCTGTAGATACAGTGACAATTGCACTAATTGTTCTACGGGGTTGTTAATATAAATGTACCCTTATTTTAAAAGGAAGAGCTTCTTTAATTAGTCCTATGTTTTGTTCAAAGTATGTGACATTATAAGTGGATGATACCTTCAGTTTTTCAGCGGAGCCATCTGAGAGGAGTAGCAGTCTCCCGTTTTCTTCACCACATAAAAAAAATCACAGCAAAGAGAATACTAGATCCAAGTATCCACTATTTAGCTGACTCCACAGAAAAAAATTGAAAAAGTAGACTTCCATATTTTTTTTGCAGAATGCCTTACTGAAATTTACATTACCCCAAGGTAATTTTGAATTTTGAAATGGATACTTTTTTAAATGAACATGTTTTGCTCTTAAGTTTTTCAGAATAATTCATTTCACTTTACTGGAAATACCTTGAAATGTTTGTTATCTGATCACACACAGAATGAATTTTCTTTAACACCAGGTTACTGAAAGGAAGCAATAGTTGCATTTATCTGGCAGAGAACAGTCTTATAACAGTTAAGGTTACTAATGTGAAGGCTGACATCGCATTTAGGATCAGATTCAGTTCCAGATGTGGTCAAGGAATATTTGCTTCATGACTTCAGTGGTACTGAGTTCTGCTAATTACTCTATTATCTGAGAACATTGCAAGAATTATGTTCTTAAAGATTGTATGCTACATCACTGCCATCCTTTAATAGCTGGTTTATAATATTGTAGCAGTCTCAGTGAATCATGGCCTTAGAATGGATGTCATGGTGACATAGCTAAATGGAAACTCAAAACAGAAGAAGAGTGAAATCCACAGATGAGAAGACTTCTGTTCAAGACTAAGCATAGTAATGAAGACTCTGAGAAGAGCACACCGAGGAGGAACATGGATGAGGCAGAGGGGGAGCAGTCTACTATGAATTTTATCCTTAGTACGACAAACAAAGGTATACATATGCATCGCTATTACAGATCAGAAAATAGAGCATTTAATGCAGATAGATGAGGTTTAGTCATGTGTAGTTAGTGCCTTGAGACACAGTCATTTTTATTATTATCTCTCCTTAACTTTCTTCATTTGCAACATGCAATTCCCATTTCTCTGACCCTATACCCTTATCACTTCTGAACTCTGGTCTTGCTGTATTCATTCAGTAAGGTCTGGAATGTACTTCATGCCACCTTAATGTTAAGAGTTCTTCAATTTGCCATCTCAAGAAAACAGTTCTAAAATTCCACAAATTGGTCTATTATATCAACAGTCAGCAGTAGTAGGTAGTGGTAATGGCATGTTTAGGAAGACGTTCCTTGCGCACTTGCAGTGACTTCTTTAGTAAGATCATGTACAGCTATATTTTGTGTATCATTTACTTCCATAATGGACTCATTGCTGCATTTGCATTTCTACTGTTGGAATACTTCCTATAGTAGGCATCAGAGTTAATAGGGCTTTCCTAAAATTATCTCTTGAGCCATTTTTTTAAAAATTAAAATGTTGTACATACAAATCCTGCTTTAAGGATTCTTGATCTTGGTCAACAAATGCTAGTGCCTTAAGAAGCCCCTATTGCAGTCTGTGTTACTTATTCTACTTGGACTTTATAAAAATCTAATCTGGTATATAATGGGCTTAAATGAGAATAATTGCATTCAAGCATTTTTCAAAATGATTACATGAGATGCAACACTTAATTTTTCTTTTCATAAACCAGCATTATGAGTCCTGGCAAGTCTCAAGAGTTGCTATACTAAGCTAATATTCTACATCTTTTACACAAGATAGATGAGTATAATGGTGTGGATGTATTTACTACTTTCAGAGGCTTTGTTAAAATTATAAATTGAATGAATAGCATATTCTTAATACATAGCATTCCTTTCCTTCCTTCACTTGTCATCTCTTTCTTTTGGGTAGCCTTAAAATAAAAACTGTCCCTAGTCTTGTCTGGCAGAAGGTAGACAGTTATTCTTGAGGGGTCTCTTGTTTATTCTTTTCTTAAGATTCCCTTTTCTCACAATTTCCAAATGTTACAATTGTCCTTGTTCTTTACACCAGATATTGCTTCCTTTGATTTTCTATCTGGAAGTCTCTAAGTGTGATTATAAGAAAAGGAAGCTTTGAAGAAGAACAGATTAAATTTGTCATACATACCTTCCTTTTGGATTTATCGGGGTTCTGAATAATTTAAAAACCAAACATCTTTATGAAATCTTAGGTGATTCCTTCTCTTTTTCCTCCTTTTTTCGTCTAATCCATATTCTTCATGTTATTAAGAGTTCTGGGATTGTCAGCTTTTGTCTGCCATTCCAGCCGTGTTATATTGTTCTCTGAAATGCCCTTAACCAAACTATATTCTATCTCCTTGTTCCATATTCAGGGAAACTGCTTGCTTTTGAATCTTCAGATTTGATATTCCTAAAGATACCATCATCTTGAAAATAATTCTGAAGTATTTGTATTCGTGATATCTTTCAAACAGTTTTTCAGTTGCTGCTTTATATTTGGGACTTTGAATATAACCTTTAGAATATGTGGATGTTTGAGGAATCAAAAAAATTGACACGTGGCTAATAGGGTAATTAAGCTATGTTCTAAAGAAAACACATGTTCCTCAGCCTTTATAAAATATTTCATACCTTATTGTCTTCTCCACTGCCAAATATTTGGGGAGTCTTTTCTGTATGCCTCCTAAGTATAGAATCATAGGATAATGGCATTTTCAAGGCCATTGAGTCCAACACTCTGCTCAATATTCCATTTTTTGTTCCTTACATTAATGGGAACGTCTATGCTTTCTTCAGTCAAATATAATAAGAGGCTTGCCACCATTATTCCTGCATGTACATTTTTGTATTGTGGAAGATCAGCATGAGACTTGATGGAACTCTCTTTTCACTTGGACAAGTACTTGGGCACTGGAAGAAACAGGTGGAAGTGTCTGGTACAGATATGTTGTTTGCACCCCAGCAGGGACAGAAAAAGGAGGACTCCATTGAACCCAGCACCAATCTCTACCCCTGTTCACATAGTTTTGCCCATTTAGTTTTGTTTTGCCACACATTATGTTGTCTAGATGCTAAATTGATGTTAATGGAACTTATTCTACTTCATTTGGAATTCTTAAGTAAGCAGATTACAGTATCATCTTCTGTAGTGCAGTACATACAAATTTGCAAACTCGACAAAACACTCATCAAGAAAGTGAGAAGATCCTTTTTCCTTTTTTGTTTCTTATGTTAATAGGAGCAGATTAATACTGTATCTAGCTGATTACTATTCATTCTCTAAATTCTTGACCTATTGATTCATCCAGCTTTCGCTTATCTAGTATTGTGAATTGAGGCACATGGCATATAAAAGCTAGTGCTTCAATTATATGGCTTTCTGTAGGCTTTCTAGTTAAAAATATTTTATTGCTATACTTTTGTGTTATTTGTATGTTGCCATTTTATTGCCCATTGTGTTAATATATGAGTTTTAGAAGTCAGCTATATTATGTGGTTTTTCATGGTGAATAACAGAATTTCTTCAGCTTTAATTGTTTATGTCTTCTTTTCAAGCTTAGTTCAATCAAATGCAAAATCCCCCTCCCCCCACAGTGGATGATATTGTACCACTTATGATGTCACAAACTTTGAAATAAGCACTAAGCTTAGTACAAAACATAATTAATAGCAAAGCAAAGGGCTGTATGCTGGTATATATGTAAATACTTTATTACACATGCATACCTATTTCATATTGTTAGGAAGAACAATAATGTATTTTGTGGTGTTAGATGTTAGAATGCCATGGACAACTAGTGCATTATGTAAAAATTGTTTTGAATATTCATTTTAAAAAATTAAAATCAAATTCAGTAGTATTGGATAGGACTTGGATTTAAAGTCTGACGTTTGTGTAAAGGTCAGATGCTTCAGACTGCAGGCCAGACATTTTAGCCTTTTTAGGCACTTAAATAGGAAACATTTACTTCTCATGGCACATAATTCTTAATTGTAGTGCCTCCAAAATTTTGCTTAGAATATAGATATGTGCTGAGAGATTAGTTATGTAATTTAAATTTTGATAACTTAAAAACCTTAATGAGAAAATTGCAAATTTCTCTCTCATCATCTTCTGAGTTAGTGAAGTCAGCAGCAGTCACCAGGTTGTTTGTTATGGGTATAATTCAATATGTTTGTATTGTGCAGCTTGAGAAATGCCAGTGGCCTGACAGCAGCAGATCTTGCACATACCCAGGGCTTCCAGGAATGTGCTCAGTTGCTCTTGAACCTCCAGAACAGCCCGCTGAACCATTTCAATAGCAATGGGACCTTAAATGGGCTTCATCAGAAGACAAGCCAAAGTCTGCTCAATAGAGGCATAAGTCGAAAGCGCACATTTGAAGATATGGAGTGTGTTGGAATGAAGAAAGCTAGGACTGAAGGTGAGGCATTGCATTTCTATCACTTTAGCTGAAAAATAGTGAAGTAAACTGAATCCCAGACAGCAGAACAAGAAGCCATAGTCTCTTACAAAGTGATGACAAGCCTGAAGCTTGCTGTTCTATTCTTTCTCTTTTGCATGTCAAAGATGGATATTGGAAGTATCTACCAGTAATTTTAAACTAACCAGGGTTATCAAATCACACTTTTTTGAGATCAAAGATGAACTAGTTGGTTTAAAACAGGAAGCTATTGATTTCCTAGAATGTTACAGAGACAGAATCCAGCTGGCAACCATGACTTCCCATTGTGTCTGAACCAGGGCTGAATGTTAAATGGTTTTGATCTGTACCTTAAAGCAAGCATAGGTTACCTTGGCAGGGCTGTTCAGGTTTGTCTGCAGTTCAAGGGCTATATTCCCACTAGCAGATACCTAGAAGTGGAAGCACTGGCTGGATACAACTTTGAAGGCTTTCCAACTCTTCCGTCTCCACCTAGGTTAAGCCATTTGCTTTTCTCCCAAATCTGATATGGAGGGAGCGAATGATTTCCCTTTTTGGTTAGTGACTTCTGTAGAGTATCAAGCTGTTCAGTGATATGCTGAAGCTTCTGGAATATGGCCAGGACTGTCTTTCCCGTTATAATACAAAGTTCCCCCAACTGCTCTGTTAACCGTGTCAGTAGTTGATGGTTAGCCACCCCCAGATATTCAGGGGCCATTGTATTTTGCACACCTCCATCTGGGGTTCCTGAGGCTTCCCTGACTGGAGCAGTTTGATTTTGATCCCAAGTTAACCTGGTTGTCGTTGGCTCTGGGTTCCTGCAGTACACCTTCATTCTCACTGTTCTCCTGAGGATCTGCTGCCAGCACTGAAAACCTATTTGATGAGGCATTTTAGCTAAATCACTTACAGTTAAAGATATCGTAAAGGCAATGACTTCGTCCAGGCACAGTTGTTTAACGACCTTGGCAGGAGAGTTTGAAGAAGTTCCTTGGCGTTTTTTCTTCCTCCCCATAATGTTCGCTCTCCCAACAGACCAGATTTTGTGAACTCAAAATTATATGAAGTCAAATCAAAATAAAAAGTCCTACAAGCCTTTATCTCGATAGTCCAGAGTTAAGAAAATAAATAGAAACATATAGCTATAAAAAGGTAAAATCCTATAAAATGCTGTGGGGGTTAAAATGAAAAGGTAAGGGAGAAAGAGAGGACAGCTGTCAACAGCAATTCCTTACTTACCTCTTTGGTAAACATTTAAACATCTGTTATCAAGGTCTATCTATCACCCATAGTAGCTCATCAGCCGCCTGATTCCCAAGCCTCTTCACTCTTTCGTCACCCTACCAGAAGATAGTTTTTTAAGGGGTCTCCAATCTACGACCCAACAGACCACACCTCCCTCTGCAGTGGTCACTGCATACTGTTCTATGGAGCCTAATGTCACTGCCCTTTGAACCCCTCGCCACAACGTCCAATTGCCTTCTTGCCTACAAGAACGTTTTCCTTGTGGCTATTCCTTCTGCTCGTAGAGCCTCAAAACTTGCTGCAGTCAGAGTTTACCCACTTTTTCTTCAGTTTTATCCGGACAAGGTTACTCTTCATCCCGATGTACCTTTTCTTCCAAAGCTTGTTTCTGAGTTTCATCTAAAGCAACCCATCATTCTACCAACCTTTTTTCCATCACCTGTTACTGATTTGAAGCATTCTGTCCACCTCTTACATGTGAGGTGAGCGTTGGCCTTCTATGTTTCAAGGACCGCCTCTTTCCGCAAATCCAAGAGACTTTGTTTCTCCACACATGCCACACAGAGGATGCTTTTATCTCCTCCCAAATCATCTCTAAGTGGCTTGTATCGACCATTTGCCTAGCATATCAACCGGCTAAGAAGCCTCTTCCAGTTGGAATTAAGACTCATTTTACGAGGGTAGTGGCTACTTCAGCAGCATTCCTCAAAGGCGTTCCTGTCCCTGATATTTGCAGGGCTGCTACGTGGTCCACACCGTCCACCTTTGCCTCCCATTGGACCTCCGGGCTAATTTTGATGCTGCATTTGGACTAGCGGTCCTGTTGTCTGTTCTTCTGTGACATCCCTCCTCTGTTCCAGTAAGCTTGTTAATCACTCATTAGTGTGCATTCACAGAGACCACAAAGAAAAAAGAGAGGTTACTTACCTGTAACTCTGGTTCTTCAAGTCGTCGTCTGTGAATTCACACTTCCTGCCCATCCTCCCCTCTGTCCGTCACGTCTGTCTCATTTATCAGTGGCAGGCAGTTTGGGAACTGAGGCACTAGTCAGGATGGGCAGACCACGTGCACTAGGGGGACAGTCCTGGTGAACAAATGTTAAGTTCTAGAAGGTTCCAGAAACCTGTGCAGGCGCAGATTAACCCATTAGTGTGAATTCACAGATGACCACTCAGAGAACCAGAGTTACAGGTAAGTAACCTCTCTTTATTATTTACTCTGATTCACTTCAATAAATAAGTTCTGTTTCTGTTCAGAAGACAAGTGTTCTGACATAAGTCATTTATATTGTGGATTGAAGTAATCCACTGGTGGCAGCGAGAAGAAAACGCGACGTGAGCCTTTGTGAGGGAAAACAAGCAGGGGCCACGTGGGTAAACGCCACAAGGGCCAACTCCCTTTCTTAGATGTCATGGTCATACGCAAACTTGACCTCCTACACAAGGTCTACAGAAAACGCACCCACACAAACGGGTACCTGCACAAAAACTGCAACCACCACCCGCAACAAAAAAGAGGCATAATCAAAACACTGGTAGATCATGCAAATTGGAACTGTGAAGCTCAATTTCTCAGCACCGAACTTAACCATCTGAATTGGGCCCTATAGGCAAATGGCTATTCCAAGAATGAAATCACAAGAGCCATCAAACCGAAAAACAACAACACTGAACTGAAGAAGAAAAACAGCCACCCACAAATAAAGTATTTCTGCCATATATCAAAGGGGTCACAGACTGCATGGGGAAACTTTTGGAAAAACAACCTACAAACAGTATTCAAGACCACCACAAAATGCAACAAATGTAATGGTCAGCAAAGGACAAAAGGGACCCCCTCACCACTGCAGGAGTATACCTGAAACCTTGCAGTTGTGGCCAGGTATATGTTGGGACCACAAAATGCAGCATCCACACGAGAATCAAAAGAACATGAAAGACACTGCAGACTAAAACAACCGGAAAAATCAGCAGTAGCGGAACATGCCCTGAAACAAGCTGGACATGAAATCCTATTTAAAAAAACAGAAGTACTGGACAACACCAGCAATCATTATGTTAGACTACACAGGGAAGCCATTGAAATCCACAAAGATCAGCAAAGCTTCAACAAAAAAGAAGAAAGTCTAAAACTTAACAAAACCTGGCTCCCAGCACTGAAAAATACAGCCTGCAAAAGAACTCTATCCAGCCATAAGGGTAGACGACTGCACACAAAAGACCAGCCAATAACATCCATCTATCACAGTGACAGATCATATATCCCCCTTATCACAACAATACACCCATAACAAAAGGACAAAAAGCTGATCCGACAACTACAGATACTCAACTATCCCACACGCTACACCAGAACACAAGACAAGAGTTCTAACTTCTGTCCTCTGAAGATGCCGGCCACAGAAACTGGCAAAACGTTTGGAAGAAAACCTCCAGAACATGGCCAAACACCCCGAAAAACCTACAACTACCATGTACTCTACTCCTTTGCACCACAGTGCACCTACAAACAACCTTCTCAGTCACTATCCTGCCAATCAAGGCCTCCATCCAAGACTACATCCGCCAAGAAGTTCTCATGCTGTATACCAAGTGCTAGTTTTTGAGGTCCTTGGAGAGGTAGGATGATGTTCCTTTATAGGAGACCACTCACTTGATGTGCTCCCTCTATAACAATCCAGGTTGAGGGGGTGGGTTGCATCATAAGCACCCTATGGTGACAGGCAAATCTGGTTTGTCACTTTCTCATAACAAGCTTAAGTGGAAGATGGAGTATGCCATCTGGACCTCCAGATTTTCAGCCTTAGCATTTGGAGGAGCACACTATGGAGCACTTCCTTCAGGAATTAATACAGTGGTGCCTCACTTAACGAGGATAATCCGTTCCAGCGAAATCACTGTAGAGCGGAATCCTCATTCAGCAAAATAAAAAATCCCATTGAAACGCATTGAAAACGCATTCAATGCATTCCAGTGGGCTGAAAACTCATTGTCCAGCGAAGATCCTCCATAGGGGCGGCCATTTTCGGTGCTTGGAATCCGTGCAAAAACACAGCGGGGAGCCATTTTATACAGCGGGTGGCCAGTTTGAAGCCGCTGATCAGCTGTTTTAAAATCGTCGTAATGCGAAGAATCAGTTCCCCAAGCAGGGAACCGATCGTCACAAAGCAGATTTTGCCTATTTAAAACATCATTTTGCGATTGCAAAACAGTCATCCTATAGCGGTTTCGTCGTTTAACGAAGCAATAGTTAAGCAAGGCACCACTGTAGATGTGCCTGTGAAAACTTTACATGTCACTCCTACCTCTCCAAATGGAACAGGTATTCTCTTCTTTCTGAGTGTAATATAACATTTCACCTATGTGGATGCCTGACATGGATCCTCTGATTCCTTCTTCACCTAGGCTTTGAAGGTCTTTCCCATATTTAAGGTGTACCTATAGGCCATTTTAGCTTACCACCCACAGCCCTTTGGTTGCTCCTGATTTCATTGCATTCATTCAAAGACATTTTTAAGGAATTCCTCTGCCTGCCTCACCCAACGTAGCACAAGAACCTCTACTTTGCCTTAGGGCAAACCCTCAAACCTCTTACCTCATTTGATCTCCACCTTCAGCCTCTAGGTGAGTGGCTATGCTTCACTTTGGACCACCTTTCCTTTAATTCCATGAGGAAAAAGGAAGTTGGTTATTCATTAAAACAGTATATACTGATGGTCATAGTTGAAATGTAAAAGTAGTAAATAAAATAGAACCAAACACCTTTGAAAAATCTAGCATAAGAATTGTAAATGAATTCAGTGAAAACAGTAATTTTTAAATTGTAGATCCATGCCGCAGGCAGCCAATTGGATGATTGTATGTGTGGATGTTTCCAGGCGGCTAATAAAGGAATCAGGTAGACTGTATAACTGGAAGCAGAAGATGTATACGTTCTTTTCTTCTCTCTCTCTCTCTCTCTCTCTCTCTCTCTCTCTTTTTGGTCTGCCAAACAAGATAAAAATTGGTCTGTGGTATCGAACATGAACTGTTGGATAGGAACAATAAAACAATCACATTGCCAAATAATAGCTTAAGTAACATTCCTGAAGAATGTGAACACTACATAAAGAACAGATTTGGATTACTAAACTTGGTTGATTGCAGACAAGAAGAAATAGACTAAAACTTGAGTGTCTTATCAGAAAGAATTTCAAACACATTGTTTCTGTGACCAAAGGAAAGAAAAGACTTGATAAATGGCTAATGAAGCTTTTTAAAATGACAAGTGTAACAAATAAAAGCAAATTGTAACTGAAAGAGATTCAAAATTCTAATGCAACTTTTCAGTTATACACATGGCCAAAGAAAACTGTTACAATAATCAGTGCAAAGAAATGGAAGAGAGAACAAGAAAAAAGGGGAAAAGATATCTTCTGTAAGACCAAAGATATTAAAGGAAAGTTTTTAACCAAATTTAGGGATACTGCAAGATCAACCAGAGATTACGAGGGGGTGCTGATTGAGCCTTTCCCAGAAAGAATTGTGCTAGGAAGCTATAAATTGCAGGGTGTATTGGCCAATTTGTCTGTATTCAATTGTGCAAAAATCAACTACCTATGATTTTAACTTACTTTTCATGTTCAGGTCCAAAGTGAACATGGCAGCACCTCCAGAAAAGTTCAGTGTGGAAGAGCATAGGACCATAATCATGTTCCTGTTTCTCCAAGGGAAAGGTGCAAAGCAGATCCATGATGAAATGTCACAAACTATGGGTGACAGTGGCCCTTCATATGCAACAGTTAAACGTTAGGTTGTCAATTTTAAAACTGGCCATTTCGGTGTTGAAAGTGAGCACCCAGCGGAAAGCTTGTTTCTGCCTCTGTGCCTGCAAATGTGAAAGCCATAATCATGGAGGACCGAATATCAACTAAAAGTATTACTATATATCTGAGAATATCACGTGAGAGAGTTAGTGCCATTATCCACAACGACTTGGAAATCTGAAAGCTGGCAGCAGAGTGGATCCCCAAACGTTTGACAACCAAACAAAAGAGGAAATGTGTGAAGTCATTGGTGGCTGCTTTGGAACATTTTGCAAGAAATGAGTCAGATTTCCTGGGCAAGCTGGTAACTGGTGATGAGACATGGATCTACTGTTATGATCCTGAGACAAAGGAACAGTCTAAGGAATGGAGGCACAGTGGTCCCTCCAGGCCAAAGAAGTTCCCAGTGCAAAGTTTGGTGCAGAAGCAAATGGCAACAGTTTTTTTGGGATAAGAAGGGAATTCTGATGGTGGACTACCTCCAACAGGGTTCAACCATCAATGCAAAATATTACTATGCTTTATTGACTAAGATGAGGCAAAACATCAAGGAAAAATGTCAAGGAAAGCTCTCCAAAGGTGTCATCCTATTGCATGACAACACTTCGTCACACACTGCAGGTGAAACAATGACAAAATTGACCTCCGCTTTCAAGTGATACCCCATCCACTTGTAAGCTTATTCTCCTAACCTGGCTGCTTCTGACTATTATCTGTTCCCCAAACTCAAAAAACGCCTAAAGGACAACTATTTGGGAGTGTTCTGGGGGCAACAAATGCTGCAAATGAGTGGTTACACCAGTAGTCAGAAGAATTTTATTTGCAGGGAATTAAGAAGCTGCAGGACAGATGTTGCAAGTGCATTGACTTCCTGGGGGAATATGTAGAATAGTATGGCAGTTACAGCTTCCTAGTTCATTTTTTTCTGGGAAAGCCTCAATACTTATCAGCACCCCCTTATATATTGTCTAATAAAATAGGGAAAATTGGAAACAGTACACTGAAGCGCTACGCAGAAGAAACACGTGGATGATATTTGCCTTCAAAGAAAAATCTGTTGCTGACGATTCTGCAGGTTTTGAAAGTGAATGAAGTTCACTGTCAAAACAATTGGAAGAAATAAGCCACCAGGCGTAGATTAAGTCTACATATACAGTGGTGCCTCGCTTAACGATTGCTTCGTACAACGAAAAATTCACTTAACGATGGCTTTTTCGGAGTGATCTTGTGCTTCACTTAACGATTTTCCCTATGGGCGATTTTCGCTTAACGATTTCGGGACCGTGCTTCACTTAACGATGACAGTTTTAGGTCCCCTTGTTTCGCTTAACATTTTTTTACAGCCCCGTTTTTGCTATTTTTAAAATATTCAAAAATGTTTAAAAATGTTTAAAATGCTTGGAATCGTGAGTACAACTAATAAAACCTTCGTTAACTTAATTTGGCTTTGTTCTGAGTCTTTTTGAATTTTCTGTGAATTTTTCCCCCCCATTGAAATAGGCTTCAATGCATTTCAGTGGGTTTCGCTTAACGTTTTTTCCTATGGGGATTTTCGCTTAAGGATGGTAATCCGTTCCAATTGAAACGGATTATCCGGTTTTCAATGCATCTCTATGGGAAATGGTGTTTCGCTTAACGATGTTTTCACATAGTGATTTTTTTTGAACCAATTAAAATCGTTAAGCGAGGCACCACTGTATCTTGTTTCAAGCTATTGAGACTGAATTTTGCCAGAATCCTAACTAGAATTTATTAACAAGTCCAAAATGCAAAACAACGGCCCATGTACTGAAAGTTCCAAAGAACTGTTAAATGTTAAAGACTGGAGTCTATATATAGGACTGTCACATTAATTTCTCATGCAACCAAAGTGATGCTCAAGATTTAACAGCAAAGACTTTTACCATATGTGGAGCAAGAAATGCCAGATATTTGTGCTGAATTCAGAAAAGGAGCAAGCACCAGAGATCATATTAAAAATATATGTTGGGTACTGGAACATACCAAAGAATTCCAGAAGAAAATCAGTGTATGTATACAGCAAACCTTTTGACTGTGTGGATTGTGAATAAGGATGTGCACTTTTTTGTTCATTTGCTTGACTACAAATCCCAGGGTTTTCCATTCTGAGAGTCCCACCTGAAATACAGATACCTACATAACTTTGGCTCGCCTAGGAGAAATCCTTAAGCTTGAAGGCTCCATGGCCTAGTGTAGGCCTGTCTTCCTGCTGGGTATTTTCTCAGTGAACTCACACATCCCTGCCTATCATCCAGTATCTGAAATTGTAAAACATAATATGCAAATAACAGGATGCTGTATATGCATGAACAAACTATGCCAAGTCAGATAATCCAAGCAAAAGTTTTAACTAATTACACTTCAAACATAATCTTCTCCATTGTCATTAGTGATTGAGTAGGTTAGGAAGTTAAATATATGTATGTAAGTAGTTCTTCCAGATAACCATGTTCTTAATTTACATCTGTTTCTGGTTAAGTACATTGAGCCTAGCTGGGTATGGATATAAGTCATAATAAAGTAATCTCTCTTGATAGTATGAGGGATTGTTTGAAAATCATGGGAACAAACCACTTGGGAGTGAACACTCTGCAGTGGCCTGGAACAGTCAGGGCAAGGTGTACTATATTCTAACATGGTTACAAGGCTGAAATGTTAAAAGAATTATGGTGGCTGAATATTTAGTTGGGATTATTTTTAATCATACCAATGAAGTAACCCCCAGATGCCTTTGCCATTATTTAAAACCCCTATTCTTCTCTCTTAGCTTTTTAAAATATCTTATATATATGGTTTATGAAGGATGTGGGTATGCAGTTAAACATGAAATCTTGACCACTTTAAACATTATGCATTTTTTCTAAACAGGTCAGAGTTTTGATGGCTTAATACCAATGATAAATGGAGGAACTGAGGAAGATGCTGACAATATGCATGTTGATAGAGAGTTTCCTGTTATATCAGGTGGGAGTGAAGAGTTTCCTGTTAACCACAACAACATTCAAATGATTGAAGATGCCAGAGAGAAGAGTGGTTCTAGTGGACCCAAAGAGATTGAAATTTACACAGTTTCTGCAATGCAGATACCTTGCCGTTGCAAGAATCAGTATGCATTTTACCTCTAATTTAATCTTTTTAGATATCCCCAAACTACTGTATTACAAAAACATATTGAGGCACTTTAATTAGGAAGACCATCAATTTCTGGAAATGTTGTAAGAGAACTAATTACAGGTCTAAATACATTGCTAGTGGCTTATCCAATTCAGTTAAAGATTTGCATGCTATGTGCCTTGAACATAGTTGCTTTCCAAAAGAATATTTGTACTTTAATGCAACAATTATATATTACAATTGAAAGTTATTTGCACTACCTTTATAGTAATCTGTTCAATATGTGGTATTGCAAATTTAGCTGAATAAATAATAAATTTACTACAAAGTTCACCTATGTGCATTGAAACAACATACTGTTTTGGACTGTTCAGCTGAATTAATACTAGATTGACGTGTGAGTTCCTATTCAAAACCTAAAGGAAAATGCTATCCATATCTGGCCAGATAATAATTGTTAGTATCCTCATTTCCACGTCAACAGATCTGTGGAATGTTATTTGCACGTAAAGCCTGCAGTCACATCAGGGAATTCTTAAATTCAGTCTCAGATCAGATGTTTTGTTTTCATTGAGACTGCAGCTTGCAAGAAAGGCAGTTTAGGCCTTCCTTTTGAAACAGAATTCTGATGAAAACCACCCTCTCCGTGCTATTAGGAAAAATAGCATTTGATTTGGCTGCAAGCCATATTATCAGTGTAACATGTAATTTGATGCTGTCACTTAAAATGCAAAAAAGTTGTGTGTGCAGAGATGTGTCACAATTTCTTGAAAATAACTAGGAAAGACTCGCTATGCTGTTACAATGATCAGCGTTCTCTTATGCAGAATTTTGGATTGTCACTGATCTTTTTAGTCTCAAACTGGTGTTAATCACATTTTCTTAAAAGTACTCACATTTTCAGATTGCCACAAATCAGATGTTTAGTTTTGATTTTTTTCTTAAGATAGACTGTTTTGCCATGTACACATTAATATAATTGGATGATATTGCTATATAACACTGGGGAGGGTAAAATCTTAAAGACATTTATTTTTAAAACAGTAAAATTTATTGTAGCAATTGTGTTACATTTGTAGTTTCAGCATAGCCATTGTCATCAGTGGAAGTACTTTTACATTAAAAGAACTTTACACAAATTTTAATAATCAGCAATGAGGAAGCAACTGTTATTTTACAGAGTGCCTATTCAACAGGCAGCTTAAAACATCAATCAGCAGCCAATATAGCTCTTAAATATTTATTTCATATTTTGCCACATAAGAATATTAAGTTATATAAATTAGATTGAAGTAGTCCTTGTATTTGCATACAAGAAAACAGAATCCTGGTAATTATGAACTACAGGCTGCTTCTTTTCACTCCTACTTGGTTTTCCCCACTATAATGCATCATTAAGAGTTGAAAATTTCCCATGTCATATGAACCAGGGATGCTGGCTTTCTAGTTCTTTGCAAGTAGGTTGCATAAGCCAAGAGAAGCCTTGGTTAAAAATCCTGGCTTGTAAAACGAACGGTGAGCCAGTATTCCCAATTAAAACAAGACTAAGTGGTCAGTTTTTGATTAACTTAGTTCCTTACATTAGTGGAAGAAACAAAGTGGCAGCTAGTTGGCTGTGTGTGAGAGCAGAAATGACTTCCATTTATACTTGTGCTTAGTGGCCTTGTTTGCATGAAATGGTAAGTAAGGAACTGGAAAACGTAGCTTACTAGATGCAAGCAGTGTGCTGTTTATTGTGCCCTGCAAACCTGAGCACAAATGCCGCTCTGGTTTGTTTTTCTCCAAACAAACCAGAGACAATATCCACAAACCTAAAACAAACTTTGGACTTAGAGAAACAAACCAGAGCATCAACTGTGCCTGTGTTTGCATGGCACAATAAAGCCACACAGTAAAGCTCTGTGATTTTGTTCAGCAACTTCTGCTGCAAGAGGATCCCTCTCTTACTGTGTGGTGCAACTACAACCTATAGCTGTGGGTGTTGTGTATATATTCTAAACTTCAGATAAATTTATTGAATTGCCAAATACAGAGCTGTCTCCTTAGGGCAGGGTAGAAAATTATAGTCTATTTAACAAAAAACTTATTTTGAAGCAAGCATTTTTTGTTTTACTATTGTTTCTAGTGCCATTACATACACAGTTTTGCTTCTTGACAAAAGAAATGTAAGGAGTGAAATACTGTTCATGACATGCTTTACTTACTGCATTAATTTTTTAATTTGAAAGGAGATACTTTGTCTGCAGTGCTGTGTACATTTTCCATACATTTATAATTTTTTGGCAAATTGTACATGCCCTTGAAAAATACTGATTCTGCTTTATATTTTAAATAAAAGTTGATCTAAAATAATTATTACCCACAGGACGTTGCATAAACATTCTTGCATTTGCATAAGGCTTTTTAATAATGGCGGCTTAGTGTGTGGTCATCAGATAAATAAAAGGACAAAAATGATATTGAAATGACCCATATTGTGTCAAAACCCTGGACTGTTAAGAAGTTTATTTTCTATTAGCATAAAGTTTAGGACCCTGGTTTAAAATGGATAGGATTTGTGGTGTGAACAAATCAACGATGTTCAGCATTCTGAACAGAAAGAACAATATATACAGTTAAATTACACTGATGGAGCAATTTTATCTGTACAGTGGTGCCTCGCTTGAGGAGGATAATCCGTTCCAGCGAAATCACTGTAGAGCAAAATCCTCATCAAGCGAAATAAAAAAGCCCATTGAAATATACTGAAAACCGGTTCAATGTGTTCCAGTGGGCAAAATACCTCAGCGTCCAGCGAAGATCCTCCATAGGGCGGCCATTTTCCGATGCCTGTGCAGCGAAAAATCCGTCCTGAACACAGCGGGGAGCCATTTTGAACAGCCGGTGGCCATTTTGAAAACCCAACAATCAGCTGTTTTGATCGTGGTAATGCGAAGAATCTGTTCCCGAAGCAGGGAACCGATCATCGCAAAGCAGATTTTGCCCATTAAAACATCATTTTGCAATCGCAATAACGATCGCAAAAACATTGTCGTGAAGCGGATTCATCATCAAGCGGGGTAATCATTAAGCGCAGCACCACTGTATATAATTCATTTCCCACCTTCATTTTTTAATTATTTAAATTAAAGAAAAAATATACAAAACAGAAATAGATACTTAATTAAAAAATACAATTTTAAGGTAAAAAAACTTAATGAACAACTTAAACTATTCAATTACAAAAAGTGTGCCCTCCCACCTGGACTGTTTGGATATATATTAAAACAGTTTTTTCCCCTTTATGAAGTCCCATTTGTGTTCGCATTGTCCAGTTTTATCAAATACAGATGGCTCTGTTTTTTAAAGTGTATGTGCAAGCTAATCGAGAGCTGTACCATGGGTTAGTACTGAGACATGTTTTTGTTCTGGACAGTTTGTAAATCTTTTACTAGAGGTTTAGTATGATGGAGATTACTTTTATTTTTATTTGAGTCAATTTGTGGTGACAGGTCTATTTTTTAATACAGATATGAATTGCAGTAACTCCATACTGAATGCTTTGGCAAATGGACATATCATCAATGGACATTTGGACTTCACTTCCCCAGCTCAACTCAATGGATTAAGTGCCAGGCGTGAAGAATGCCTAGCATTGGTAGTGCCTAATGCACTAGCAGCTACTTGTAAACATGCAGTCAATGTTGGCTGTAATGTTGAGGAACCAGAAAAAGTGGTGAATTCTGCTTCTGAGTTGTGTGGCTCTTTGCATCTAAATGGAAGCCCTAGTAGCCTTGTGTCCAGCAGGCCTATGTGGATGGATGATCTTGGCGATACATTGCACTATGGACATTACCATGGTTTTGGGGATACTGCTGAAAGTATTCCTGAACTTAACAGCGTTGTTGAGCATTCCAATTCTGTTAAAGTTGCACAGAAATATGATAATACCGTTTTGGGTACAATGTATCTTTATCATGGTTCGTAAGCCATTGATACCAGCTTCTTTTTGGAACTACTAAACAATGTAATTTTGATGGGAGAAAATACCATCTGAAAGGTGCAACAAGTAACAGTTTTTCACATATTGGTTAAAATAAATTGATTGTTAATAGCCTTATGTTCCTAATTTTGCATGCACAGGTTCATTTAATTATATGGATAGCTGCTTTTACTATGGATTGTTCTTTTTTATGACAAGTACTAGTTTTTTACTTTTTTATTTCTAAGCTTGTTAGCACTCTACTGTAGAACTTTGTTTTCACTTTCATTAAATTAAACTTTGAGGAGACATTAATTTTTTATATTAGAAAAGTATGCATTTTCTAATTTAAGACCTGTTGAGACTATGGTAAACAATATCAGTGCCCACTATGGCTATGCAAGGAGTGGGTGATGACAATAAAAACACTAGATGTAATCTACTTGCTCACTTCTCAGAAGGCAGTTGGATTTTTTTTAAAAAATGAATAAACCAGCTGCTTAAAATCAAGTACAGTAGTGGTGGGTGATTGCAAACATTGTTTCAGACAGCTTGTCTTATTTCACAAAGTAGTGGCAGTCTATTTTTTTAAACAATCCTTTTTATGTTACAAAACTGGGAAATGGATTTGCAGAGTAAAATTGGGACAATTTTTCTTTCATTACCTTCTTTCCCCGAAAATAAGACCTAACCTGAAAATAAGCCCTAGTATGATTTTTCAGGATGCTTGTAATATAAGCCCTACCCCCAAAATAAGCCCCAGTTAAGTGAAAGCCCATCCTCCATCATTGTGCAACAACCAGTTGAAGATGACATAAATGTATTTGAATAAATGTAGATTGTTGTACATGAAATATAAAACATCCCCTGAAAATAACCCCTAATGCATTTTTGGAGCAAAAATATAAGACCTTGTCTTACTTTCAGGGAAACACGGTACAGAGATACACGATATTTTACCATGGCTCACAGAATAGCATGTTGGCACTGTTTTACTGTGTATGTGAATTTTAAGAACTGTTGAACTGTCTGGTCAATATATTTCAGCTTTGCTTTATTATATGCATATATTTGTTTTTGATTTTTTTAAAAAGTAAGATACATTGCTTTGTACTGTTGAAATATTGTGAATTTCTAACCTAAAGAAGGGGCTGTATTCTTTTTTAAAGCCAAATTCAGTGGAAATATACTGTCTGAAAGTTGAGTAGATTGTATGTATATGCAGAATATGTATACGTCCGCTGCAAAAGCTGTGCAGCATCACTACTTTTGTGATTTTGGATAACATTAAGATGAACTAAAAGTAAACTGGTTCCATCTGTAAACTGTGTTCGTATTTTTTTTTTGCTTCACAAGGGACCTTTACAAAATGAATTTTTAAAAATAAACCCCATTTTCCGTTATATTGTAATATTTTTGTGTGGCAGCAATATTGTATTTTTTGCCTGATGTTTGGCTTCTACATGTATTTTAAATGCAGATTATATATTTCCCTTCTCAAGTGAGATGGAATTAAATGAAAATATGTTAGTTATTCTGGGTTTTAAAATATGGTTGTAAAAATTACAACTTAATTAACAATCTTCTTGCACATTAAGATGTTTATGGTCCAGAAGGTTGCTCTTTTTTCTGCACATTTTCTTTTCTGCAAGTGTTCCTCCTGCACTAGGAAGTTGTCCTATTTCATAGATGTATGTAATTACAGCATCTACAAAAGGTATGGTGTAGACACTGTCCAGCTTTCATATGACATGCCAAGAGAAAAACAGTGTCCTCTCTGGGCTTCCCTTTGGAAGGAAAATGCACTACTTGTTAATGCAGTTTGGGACTGTTTACCTTGGTACTGTTTGATTCTCTCACTTTATCTAGCCTCATACTGGATATCAAAATTACTTGTTTGTAGGAGTGTGCATTTTTGTATTTTTAGACTCCAGCTCCCACAATTCTCCCAGAATTCCCTAGGTAGAATTCTGTGAGTTTCAGCCCACAAACATACCAGGAAAATGTGTGCTTCTGAGGCTGCATGGCCTTCTCTGGCCTCTGTTTCCAGTTTTTAATGTTAAAAGAAAAGGGAGTAATATAGAAGGACACCTCCCAAATAACAATGCTAGAACTGCTATATGTGCATCACAGTCAACAATGCTGATTCTGTAGGTTGAAGAATTGTACTTTGGCTTTGACCTGGTGGGCATATCCAAGGGAAAATGTCCTGAGGACCAGTCTAGAAAGGAAAAGAGGATGAGGAATGTGATTCTGTCTGTTTCATGTTCAAGAGATGCAGGTAATTGCATCTGAACCACTAGAGAAAGTCCTTCAACAAGACTTACTCAGGCTGACACCCAAGTGCCTCCTAAGGCTCCCTATCAGAGTAAAATTCAGGAGGAAGGATGACTGTCCTTGCCAGCAGTAGAGGGCGGGCAAGGACAGTAGGTGCCTGAGTATACTTTGGTCCCTGCAGTGCCTTTAACAAGGTTTGCTGCTGTGGAAGTGTTAGATTCCACCTTCTTATTTTTCTTCCAGGGGATCAATGGAGAGAGAATGATTTGAGTTTAAGAGTTCATCATATGACCTCTCAATACAGTGTGAGGTTCTTCATCATGGCCTCTGTGAATGCACATATATGGGTCTTGTCTGTGCCTGCGCTGACAGTCTCAGAAGATTCTAGAGCTAAAAGTAACAATTTTATGGTGTGATCTCCCATGAGGCATAGTCTCCTCCCACCTATCGTTCCCCTCAATTCCTTTTTTCTGCTGTGCTGAAAGGTTCTACAGAAGAGAGGAAGAGCAATTTTTGGCCTTTATACTACTAATAATCTTTTCCCTTTTCAATTACCTTATGAATGGACCTTTCCTGTTCTGATTTCCTGTGAGTTTTCCCCCGTCAGTTTCAGGATTCGTTTCCCCCCCCTTCCCTGGACTCTACAACCATTTTTCCCCTTCCTTCCCGCCATTTATGGCTTCTTCAGCTCTTTTCAAGCACTGTGTTGGCTGCAATAGTAAAATACCATCTTCTGACAGCCACGACAGGTGCTTAAATTGTTTGGGAGAACAACACTAGACTCAGTCTTGCACGACATATAAAAGTTTTACTAAACCCACACTGAAACACAGACTCCAGAGGGTCAGATCTCACCTTTGGGAGGAAGCCACGAATCCTGCTGCTGCTATTCCCTCCGAGGCTCAACATTTGGATACAGTGGCTCCGTGGCAAATCCCATCCTCGTCCGCCCCGGGCCATTTGATTCCGTCTCTCCGCTCTAAAGAAGGCTCCAATACATCCAGGGCTTCAAAGCCTAAAGCAGCCAAGGAGCGTGAACCTCCTAAGAAAAAGAAGGAAAAACCTGTTAACAAGAAATCAGTTTAAGTTGTTTCCCCTCCATCCCCCCCCCCCGGAGAGCGTCCACCCTTTCCAATATTGGAATAATCATCTTTAGAGGTGCCAGGATCTATAGTGGAAAAGGATGAGGTGCATATTCCGTCAGCACAAGCTCCAGTCATGGCTGGTAGCTTCTCTCCCTTCACTGGCCACATTGGGACTGAGCTTCCATCCATTCCGGCCACTGCCCATTGGAGCCCTACTTCAGGGCGGGCCTTTGATACCGAACCATCGGAGCCTGAAACTCCTCAGTCTCCCAAGAAATGGAAGGAGAAAAGGAAACATATTGAGCCATCCACTCCAATGTCTCAGTTCAGTCACTGCTACCAATTCCCCTTCTTCCCGGCTTACCAGCAGCTTGCTTTTCAACAACTTGGCATGGAAAATTTCTTCCCATTCGCCAACCAATTTCAAATGGTGGCGTATCATAGATTCTCCCAGGCTGGCCAAGCAAAACGGTCACGTCATGAATCCCTACCACACCGTGAACAGACTCCACCTTCTACATTGACATCGAAACCACCAGTACCACCTCGACATCAACATCAGTCTCAACGTCGAAGAAACGCCACTCGCAAACTGATGGCATTCACCCAGCGAAACACGCTAAACACCCATCAAAGAAATGACATGTCATTCCAACTACGGGATCTCACCCAGCACCATCTACAATGCTTGCATCCCTTTCTGCTCAGAAGATGACTCTTCACCTTCTCCATCGGTGTCAGACCAGGAAACTGACACTGATTCATCACCAGAATCTCCTGCCAATATACCCACTCCTGAGTCTGATCCCGTTGATAACCGCCCGCCCTCTCCATCTAAAGACTTCACCTCTTACTCCCATTTAGTCTCTCGCATGGCTTCTGCACTCAAAATTCATGTCGGAGAACCTCCTTCCCCTAAGGCAGATATCTTCAACAACATCAACAACGAGAAATCTGAACCACTCTACCTTGCTTTCATACCTGCCATGCTACAAATAATCAGGGATGCCTGGGATATACCACCATTGAATTTGCAAATCTCGAGGCATACTGAGAATATGTACAGAACCCATGGTACTGACATGGAATTCTTGGCAAAACATCCTGCCCCAAATTCCGTCATAGTTGAATCCAAGTTATCCAAATCAAGAGGTAAATCATCAATTTCACCAACAAATAAGGAAGGGAGGAAACTCGATGTCATGGCTAGGGGAGTCTATTCCTTACAATCTTTCCTCAGAGTGGCTAATTACCAAGCAGCAATGGGCAACTACCAATGACATTTGTGGGCAAAAACTTTGCCCATCCTCGGATCTGCCCCAGAATCCATCAAAACTGACCTCATGAATGCCCACGCAGAAGCTACCTCCCTAGCAAAGCAACAAAAAATCGCTGGCAGACATGTGGCTGAAGCCACTTCCAAGTCTCTATCATCTTCTATAGCAATCTGTCGACATGCTTGGCTCATGTCTACATCCCTAAAGGATGATGCCAAAAACAGAATCGAAGAGCTCCCCTTTGATGACATGGGTCTCTTCAACCAGAAGACAGATGACACCATGGAGAATCTTCGTAAGATTCGCAAAACAGCTAAAACTTAAATGAACCAGCAGTCATTTCGATCCTACAAACCACAGTACAGGCATTCACAATACTACCAACAACTCTTTCAATCATTCCAACAATACCAACCATATCGACTGTTTCAACAACAGCAATCAGACAGGTCCTTCTTGACACCACGACCATCGACACCGACTTTGAAATCATGAACAGTGACGTCAATCCTTATGAAAGCCACAAAAGAAGGGTAAGGGCTATCAACACTATTGATACTCTTATTCATGTTCCTCTATGTTCCTACCGTTCACCCTACCCAAGACTGCAACCATTTCTCCCCTTTTGGGAATATATTACAAACAACCAGTAGGTGCTCAACATTATTTCATCAGGTTACCGCATTTAGTCTGATTCCGTTCCCCCTTTGGGCAACCTTAAGTTTACCCCATACTCTCGAAATCTCCAAGAAGAAATTTCCACTTTGCTTGACAAGTGAGCTATTGTCTTGGTTCCAGCTACAGACTTCTTTAATGGTTTCTATTCCAAATACTTCACGGTCCTGAAAA